ATCAATAAAACATTTTTTTTTTATATATTGCTGCATTTTGTATACGTTCATACTCAAGTTTAAATAAACAACAACACTAAAGCTATTCTGTTATAAAAAAAAAAAAAAAAAATACACTGCACCCAAAATGTTTCATAGTTCAGCAATACTGATCAATCTAATAAACTTAAACCTACTCAATCCTTCCTATTCTGGTGTTTTAAAGAGTACTTAGCAAGTAATATTAAATAAATTCTAACAACAGCTTATCAAGGTTAAACGTGCTGCTGTTGTTCAGCCACTGGTTTCCTCTTTCTGGTGCAAATTGGGCCAAAAACAAACAAGAGAGACGGACTCTCGACAGAAAAGCCGATCAGCTGATCATTAATCAGTTTCACGATTGAAGTAGCAGCAAGAAGAGGCAGTCGCTCCATATATCGGTTGTTTAGCTTAACGTGGGAATGCTTTACAAACATTCAGAGATGAACTTGCACACTTGCTTTACTTCTCTCTGAGATAACTTCATTGGAGATGAAATGCTGGTTTGGTAGCGAGGCTACAAATACACACAGCTGCTCTATCACGTGAGCACACTGCTCCGACGTGCTACGGTTATGAGCCGAGTTACGTCACAAGTTTTGTGAGGTGCTTTTTTTTTTAATATTTAATGGATCGATTACATTTTTTATTTCTCTCCTATATCCAATCCAGTAATTTACATCAGTATCGGACCGATACGTAATATTGGATCGGTCCATCTATCATACTTACATGGACAGAACCAACAAAGGTAGAACCTGCAGACTCTACACAGAGAGCCTCCCAGTTGGAAGATTCTTGCTCTGAGAGTGCTCACAAGTGCATTTGGTCTTTCTGAGAATGTAGCAAGCTGCTGATTTGCTGCTCATAAAGTTTCTTCTCTCTCCCTGTTAAGTGTGTTCTGGTTTTTGCTTTCTACCTCGTTCACTTGCGTTGACAACTGTTTGATTACATATTGGAATTTCCGATGAACAGTTGCCAAATTCAGATTCAATGAACTCTAGACTTTGTTAACATAAAATGATCCTGTCAGTTGTTTGCCTTGTAAATCTCAAAGCCTGAGAAAAAGGATGGATTATGTTAAATTGTTATTAAACCACTAATGTAAACATTTAGTTTAACTAAAGCATTAAGGTCTGTGCTTCAGTCAGCTCTAGACTGCTCCATTTTAAATCCACCGTGGGGATGTCCAGAAGCAAAATTATGAAACCTGTGTCCTTGTCCAAAAATATGTAGGCCTGACTGCATGTGAACGCTTACATCTGGATTATGCCTACTGTTGTCTCCTGCATGAATAGCAGTGCGTTTTTTAAAAGTGCTGCCAGTGCATGCCAGCCTTTGGTGTCATTTCAGCTTGTTGTGCACCTCTTCATTACCTCCTCAACTTAGGTTTCCCATTTGGAGCAGTCCCAGCAACCCTGAATTAACAGTCCAAGATGGCAGTAGTGACTTTAAACCCTAGGAAAGCTGTAAAACTCTTAGTTTCATAAGATAACATCAAACGGATAGTTTCGCAAACTTGACAGTGTGATAATGAGATACATAAAGCCTTTTAAGCTTTATAGTTGCTAAATATTTACTTTACAGCTTACACTTGTTCCTCTTTTATCTGTAATTCATGTTTTATTTTAATTATTGAAATTGTTAACAAATCCTATCTGAGCCCCTTTAAACACACATTGTTAAACTTTGCATAAGCTTCAGTTAAAATAAATCAGTGACCTGCGGGAATACAGGCAGACAACACAAGAAGTACACAGTTGCTTATGTAGGTGTTTGTATACTTTTTTTTGTGCTGCACTAAGCTGCTGTATGCAGCGATGATCAGCTTTTGAAGTACCCTGAAAGTTAATATTGACAGTAGCTTTGTGCATCAACGTTAGCTTAATGCAGTAAATGAACAGAGCAGAACATAAACATGACAGAGCTCCTGCTGTGAGAGTGCCGTTTGAATGACAGAATGACTTCTGGCAAAACGTGTTAAATAAAGCAGAGTTTCGTACAAGATATTACTGTCACAGTGAAAAGCTCCACAGCCCGCCAGATGTGAATGATTGACACAGAAACTGTACTGCATTTGTAGTTCTACCTCCCTGTGTTGTACACTATAGAGCGTGAAAACTTCAATCTAAACACAAGTTGAGGAAATCTCTGAACTCTGATTAACAGCATGTGTCTTTGTGGCAGCATCTTTACTTATGTTTGACCTTTAAAAATGTTTAAGGTAATACGGTGAGCAGTATTATTCAGGCAGTCATACATCACATTTATCACATTTCTTTGCTTGCGTAATAAAAATAGCAGTGTGATGAAAAACAGTGAATAATAAGCCCTTTTCAGAAGATATTTAAATAGCATTGCTGGTTTGAGCTGTTAAGATCGTGGCTTAAGAGTTGGGAGGTCGCCTTGTAATCGGAAGGTTGCCGGTTCGAGCCCCGGCTTGGACAGTCTCGGTCGTTGTGTCCTTGGGCAAGACACTTCACCCGGTGGCGCCAGTGTCCGGCAGCCTCGCCTCTGTCAGTGCGCCCCAGGGTGGCTGTGGCTACAATGTAGCTGCCATCACCAGTGTGTGAATGTGTGTGTGAATGGGTGGATGACTGGATCTGTAAAGCGTTTTGGGGTCCTTAGGGACTAGTAAAGCGCTATATAAATACAGGCCATTTAAGAGACGTTTGTGTCATTGAGACATATGTAGAAAACCAAACATTACTCATGCTTTTATTTAAGCAGTCTATGACTGTTTTAGCATCATATCATGCTGTAGAGAGTACAATTTGCAGAAAGGGCCAGATTTTCTTACTGCATCAGCTGTCTGTGCAGTGCCAGAGCTTGGGCTCTTCTGTTCTGTAGTTCTGCATATTTCTGGCCCTCATTACATTTAAATATGAAGCTTTGAAGAGAGGGGAAGAATCATTGCCCGCTATATGACGCATGCAAGCCGTGGATACATAACAGACAGAAAACACAATTTTGAGTGTTTCGGGGCTCCTTTAATATGACTATACTACAAGGATGTGGTCCGTAATGAAAACTGCAGAGAGCACAAAAGCTGCTTTTCTTTATGTGTTTGTTTGGATTTTAACTGTCTCTCATGCCTGATCTGTTACATAAAGTGCATCAAAATACCGCTATTTGACCTGAAGCATGTTAAAGAAAGTGTGACTCTTCAGGTCTCACTGGATGTAACTCAGCCGCCTGAGAATCATATTCCTTGGGTTGTTTTTTTTTTAATGCTTAGCTACTGCCAGACAGAGTATGCAGAAACAACAAACAAAAGCCTCCCACTGGATATTACTGTTCATAACTATCAGAAATGGGTTATAGCTGCAGACCTGTTGAGCATCAAGTCATGTCAGTAATGCCACAGAACAAAACTGAGACATAATGTTCGAGGAGGAGGAGTATTAGTGTCACTAACATAGAAGTTCATGTGTATTCAGCTAGCTTGGCAGAACATCTGAAAACATGTTGTTTTGGTCCTTTTTACACTGTTGGGATTGTAGCTAATTGAAGATGGATTACAAAAATATTGATTCTGTTGGTGGTTATACAGTCAATCAAATAAACACAAGGTGATTTCTACTTGTCCTTGGTTATGGGACAGTGTGTGATCTGTGTGCATTTCTTGGGGATAAAGTTTAGTTTCAGAGCAATATGTTAGTGAGGCTGATGAATTACAGATGAATGGCATCACTGAAAATAAATACGTTCACTATGAATTTAAATTATTTTCTGCAGCTTTCCTCGGGCATCAGTCTCTCTCTTTGTGTATTTTATATTGTTTATCCTTCTCCGCGACCTGTTGCTCCTGACTGAAGTAGGCAGCGTTTGATTGGTCCATTTTATCCCCCAAAAAAAAAAACCCATTAGATGCCTGCAAAGCAAAAGGCCTGGGTTAAAAAGGAAAGTTAATAGATGCCGTTATGATACGGATTATCTCTGTATCATAACATATTGGGATTCTAGGTTTTGTCGAGCCGCCTAATGCATTGAAATCCCAACTTTGGCAAGCTCACTTTGTTGTATGCGCTTCTGTGTTTTCAAAACTCCTGTTAACATCGACTGACACGTCTACAAAATAAGGATTTTTCTCCGACGTGGATCATTCTTCTCAGCATGATCTGAACCACAGTCTGCCATATCTCAGCTTTTTGGAGCGTTTTTCAGTTTAGTCGACAGCACACACCCTCCGAGTGTGACTTACTCATGTTTAGTTACGTTTGTTGCAGTTTGACAAGCAACATTTTTGCAACCAACAACACAACTGTAGATCAGCCTGTTACTCTAATTTTTAAAAGCTGAGAAATACACAAAGGGTTTTGAATAATGCACATTTATATGGAAAGGGCTTTTAAATGCAACACTTCTGTCTCAGCTCACCTGTCTTTAAGTCAGCTTTTAAGAAATGTTCATAAATGCAGTAAATGACAAATTAAATGGAAAAACTGGCACAGAGTGTCTTAGTAATGTTGGTATTCCTCCAAAAGAGCTTCAGTCCACATTGGCATTGATTGTACAAGTGTTCATCAAACCATTCAGTGACCCTTCATCCCCTGTGGACGGAGGCACTATCGGTGTAAAAAACGCCACTCTCAGGAAAGAAATGTTTCATCATCACGCTGAACAACTTTGTACTGATTGGCATTGATCTTTCCTCTGAGGGCAGCAATGGACTCAAACTATGTCAACAAAATACCCCCTACAGGATAACATCTCACTGTTCAGGACTCCCCTTTAGTTTATTTAGTTTACTTAACTTTTACATTTGGATGTAGCTTATTTGCTCGTTTGTGCATCGCTTTGTACCTGATAGTTGGTCAATAATCTGCATTAAAGGCTCCAGTTGCCTAGGTAACGCTCCAAATTATTTACCACCCTTGCATATGTAAGTTAATGGTATCATTCACTCTCACTGGGAGGCACTTGGATTGATTACTTCAAAATGCTGAAGGTTTAACTTGCGGCCCATCCAGTTTACATCACCAGCAATTCTTTCACCGACCACTGCTTACAGTTTCACGTTCAGTGGTCTCTGGTTGCACCGTTGCTGTTGTGGATGCCCCTTCATTGTGACTTCCCTGTGAGATGATGTTCGGTGAAGTAAACTGTAACACTTGCAGATTGTGTAGATAAAAATCTGCGTGATAGATGTGCTGCCACTCTGTAATACCACTTTTGTAATTTCAGAAGTCTCTGGCCTGTCAATGCACATCACTGAGCAGATATGTTTATTTTGCTGTATCAACTCTCAGCTTGTCAGAAGTAGCCCCTTCCTTCCCCGGGTCGCCTCCACGCTGAGGCAGAAGATGGCTTCCTTCCAGAGCCTGATGGATGTGGAGGAGAATGATGCCTGTGATCCGGTGCCAGCGCAGGACAGCAACACTGGAGGATGCATCAAGACAAGAGATTATCTGTCTGGTGAGGCTGCCTCATTGCCACAGGATTAATAGTTTCATTTTTCATTGAGGATCCATGCCAGAAGGATTTCTTTATGATGTCTAGAGGCATCGTTCATAAAGCAGTGGATTAATGCGCTGCACCGTATAAGCCTGACTGTGACAACATCTTACAGCAGGGATCTCCTCTGAGCTTGGTCATCTTCTTAAATGGGCCCAGTTTCTAAGCTGTTTGTTACTGAAGTGAGACTTTATCTCTATTCCTCTGATCAAAGGTGTTTGTTTGTTTTTTTCCCTTTTTGTACCCCAAGCTGTGTTTTTATCATATATTATTTGAAATTTGATATTTTCTTTTCATTAACTTGGATGCTCCCAAGTCCCATTTGTTTTTCTATGTTTATGTAATATGCCTTTTTTTGATTGATGTTTTTTTTTTTTTTTTCACTCTCAGATGGGAACAGCCATGATGGAGGGAAGGAGAACGACCCTCCAATGATGCCTACACCCAGCAAGAGGAGGCGCACCAGCAGCCCCCCCGAAGGCTGCAGTGTGGAGATTAGAGAGGCCAGCACGCCTACCCTCTCCTCCACTTTGATGGAGCAGGAGGTACACCGACTCACTCCGACTCACTCACTTAACTGACTGCTGTAAATAATTTAGCTAAAAGGTTTTTTCCTCTGTGTGCCTGGCTCCCATTGAAGCCGTCGATTATTTTTAACGCCTTTATGAACGGTAGATCTCAGGGCCAAACAGGATTTTTTTTTTTCCTTTTTTTGACTACAAGCTTCCAAAAAGAGAAATAAACCAAAGAGCACTTTGACGCGAAATATGTTTGAGAAAACACTGCCAGTTAAATTTTTTTCTCTCTACACTAGACAAAATACTTTACAACTCCACAACTTTATTAGTGCAAAAAAAACAAAACATCAATGTATTTTCACTTAAACAAGCAGCTGTTTTTTATGTGCATTAAAGTTATATAAAAATGTAACCGTGCAAATGCAAATTCCTTGCTGACAGTTTAACCAAAAGGCATTTCCAGTGGAAACTGGCAGACATATCCTCAGCATATCCATGTATAATATCCACAAAACTTAAAAAGAGGTTATACACGCGAAACACGGTAACATTATGTTGAAGCACAGTACGTATCCAGACGCATCAGAATCAGTTTTCTCTTTCTCGGCTTTCTCACCCGACGGCACGTAGACGGACACGCTGTCGGAGCTCAACGATTGTGATGCGTAGGGTCCGCGCTGTGTTTACGTCTTTTTGCGCTGATTCTGAGCTGCAGGTTTTGTTTCTCTCCAATCAAAATTTACCGAGCCAGCAGCAAAAGAAGCAGCAAACTACGCTTCATATTTGATAAATCTCGTCATGAATTCCCTCTGACTTTTGCTGTTTTCTTCCACCACGATAAAAATCACACTTCACGCACAGCTCCCTCTCTCTCTGTACTTCAAGAACAGTTTCCCATCTCAAATCTGTTTTCTGCATTATTCATTCGCTTATTACCCACCAGTCTACTGTTGTTTACTGCGCTGTCGGCCACTGTCTTTTTCTTTTCTTTTTCTTTTTTTCCCTTAAATGACCTCCGACAAGAAAGCCTAATTTCTGCTGTTCAATACTGAAGAAATTTAAACTTTTTAAAATTATTTGAAATTGTAGAATATTTTTAAGGTTATCTGCTATAAAAAGCCAGGCCAGAAAAATCTCCTTCATGTTTTTCTGTGTTTTATTCTCATTTACTTTCACACAAAGGCATCTGCTGTGATGTTCACAATTCTGATGAAGTCTCACATGTATCAGTACTGATAAATGATCAGAATTATAATATTTCTGACTGTCTGAGGCTAAATTGAATCGAATCAGGACTTTGAGAACCGGAATCGAATGGATTATAGAAATCAGTGATGATACCCAGCCCCAGTGAGTAGCCTAGGCCTGACAGAAGTGGATGTAGCTGTGGGTAATAAGAAAAGATGAAAAGAACTAACGTTTTTGTTAAGTTAAGTCCTGATCTGTCTGAAATTCATAGCCAGTGCTCTGACACAGTGCCATCAATCTTTGAATGCTGAAAAAGCACAGTGTATCCAGGAAACACATTATATGCTGCAATATATGCACTGCCCAAGTGTCCCCTCTCCCCACTGCCTTTCAGCAACATGCAACAGCAAACAGGTCGTCAGAGGAGGCAGAGATGATGATTAAGTTTAACATTTTCTATAATATTGACAAAGCACTTTAAGCACAAGATTGTTAGTTAATAATTTAGAAATGAATATTGTCTGTATGGATTTCCCCCCCAAAAAAGTGCACATGCAAAACTGCGGTGTTAAGTAATGCGGTTGAAAAATTTGAGTGCGCCTAACTTTTGTGCCGGTACGCCTAAGTTTTTAAAGTTAGGCGTACTGGTGCGCCCATGGCAAGAAGTTAGTCTAGAGCCCTGGTATCACTCCGCGAGGCTCCTGCCTACGATAG